GATGGGGGGCCCTCCAGAAGGGGAGACAGCCAAGCAGAGCGATCACAGTGGGTCCCAGACAGGATGCGCAGACTGACCTGAGTGCTGTGGGGGTGCTTGGGCGCCCGTCCTCCAGAGAGCACGTGTGTGTGTGTGTGTGTGTGTGTGTGCTGCTATCCTCCTCCCCTTCTCCTTCCAGGCAACCTGGCTCTGCTGGGCCAGTGTATGAATCGGTACTGGCTGCAGAAGAAAGAGATGGCCCCTGGCTGTGAGCCTCTGGTGGTCCAGCAAATCATGGAGGTGCTCCAGCCCCACGTCTATGGGCAGAGCCTGGCCGGGGCTGGCGGTGGGGGCTTCCTCTTCCTGGTAACCAAAGAACCCAGGAACCGGGTGGCCTTGCAGGAGATCCTGGCGGAAGCTGCGGTAAGTGAATGCAGTCCCCGCACTGGACAGCTCCTCCAAGGAAGAGACTGCTCTGCAGGATTGGGAGTGATGGGGAGAGCAACACAGAAACCTTGTAATATATGGGGGCGGCTGGGTGGAGGGGGCCCCAGGGCTTCCCCCATGGAGGGACAGGAAGACCACTCCCTCCAGCAGCCTGAGAGCTATGAAGGCAGGAATCGCAGAAGATGCTCCGCTCGAAGCTCCTTTACCCATATATCCCTTTCAGGTTCTTGGAAATGTCACCATCCACACTGTGGAAGTGGACACAGCAGGATTCAAGGTGGAGCTTCTGGGGGACACACACACTTTAGAGGCATGAAAGAGCAGCTCCGTCCTGGGCTGCTCCTCCACCATGAAGGGGGTGCAGGCACCAGCTGCAGGGCAGGGACGAAGAGCCGGTTCTGCTCCGCTGCAGATCCCACTCAAGGAAACGGTGGACGAAATTCTTGGAAAGAGGTGAAAGCAGCAGGACGTTCATCCATTGCAGGAGGCAAGCAACAGCCAGCCTGGCAAACCTAAGCGCTTCCCATGCAAATGGGTCCCCCAAGGAAGCAGTGCATTGGCTGGGAACGCCCACAGTTATTCATTTGCAATTGCAAAATAAAGGTTGCACTGGTTGCTTTCTTAAGAGCTAATGAGGGTCTGGTGCATTTTTAAATTCAAAGTGGCAATACATTGCTTGTAATGGCAGAAATTATAGCCTACTGAGGAGGAGACATGAACTGAGGGCCCCTGAGGCCCAGCCAAATGGGAAGATGTTGCAGGCAAGAGAAAACTCCTTCCTGTCCCAAGCTTTGAACTGCTGGGGGGGCAGGGGGTCAGGGGGAACCAGCACAGCCCTCAGCCACCAAGGGGGCTGCTGTTGTCTTGACCGAGGTCTGCATTGAGCAGAGGGACCGGTTCCGACAACCCTGGAGGCCCTTCCCAGCCTTGATTCTACTGTTAACACTACCCTCAGAATCACACTTCCACAGAATTCTGATTCATGGGATCTTGGGGATCATCTAGTTAAACCCCTGTTCAACGTAGGAATTTCCCATCTCAGCATCCCTGACCAATGGCCACCCGGCCTCTGCTTGAAGAGAGCAATTCCCCACATCCTCACTAGCAAGCAGCTCCAGTCCTGCAGGACTCTTCCCCCAAAATCTGCTTCCTGTTTAAAGCCCTGGTTTCTTGTCTCTGTCATGGGCTTCCCTATCTATAGTATCTCCTCCCCGTGTTCCAGCTACAACAGCTAAGCCAGAGGAGTTACGCCCTCAGCCAGAGGCCATTTCGATCAGACCGGAGGCTTCCCCAACACGGCATTTGGCTTCTGCAAGCTGCAACCACAAGCCAAAAGCAGGACAGCCCAGGGCAGCAGGGACATTAAAAGTGCCCCCTCCTTCTTCCCTGGAGGGAATCAGCAGAATGCAACAGCTGCTGGCAACTGGTTCCTCCTGTGAAGTGGCCCAATCTTCTTTCAGTCATCAGCCACACCCAATTTCAGTGAAGAGACTAAGAGTTGAACTAGAAGACTTTGGGGTCTTCCAGTTCAACCCTCTGCTCAAGCAGGAGACCCTGTATCATTCCAGATAAGGGGCTTCCAGTCTCTTCTTAAAAGCCTCCAACGATGGAGCAGCCACAATTCCAGGAGGCAAGTTGTCCCACTGATTAATAATTGTAACCGTGGGGAAATTCCTCCTGAGTTCCAGATTGCTCTCCTTGATTAGTTTCCCGTTGCTTCTTGTCCTGCTTTGGAGAATAGACTGACCCCCTTTTCCTTATGGGAAGCCCCTCAAATATTGGAAGGTGGCTCTCCTGTCTTCCCTCTTTTCTCCTAAAGAGAGAGCCCAAACAGTGAAGCCAACTCTTATAAGTTGCCCATTGCAGCTAATACAACGCTAATGTTGGACCTGCACCTGAACACTGTCAACCCTTAAACAGCATTATGGTATCAGCAGGTTTATTTTAAATTCCTTTGGGTCTGTGGGCTAATTTGGCCTCTCCATGTTGGCCTCTTGAGTCCCAGCCCCCAAGGAAGGTTCCAGGAGGCGGTTCTGCCCAAAGCTCCGGCCAAACTCCTCACCAGGTACAGCCGAAAGCAAAGCCGAGGGTCAGGACCCAAGAGGAAGGGGCCCTTCAATCGTGGTCCAGGGAAGCTTTTTTCGGGGGGGGGGAGGGTTGCCATAAACTGATAGCTCCTCCCAAGCCCCGGATGCTGGGCAACCATCTTCCACAACACAGGGAAGGAAGAGGCCCAAAGCCAGTGGAGGCTGCTGGAGAGAAAAACGCTCCTCCTTCCACTTTTCCCATTTTCCCTAGCAAGAAGGCGGCCAGCACTGAGCTTCTCCCTGCTTCAGCCGCCAGTCCTGGCAGGAGGCGGCAGCGCGTTTCCCAAGGAGGCTACAGGCGCAGGCGTTTGATGTCTTCATTACGAAAATCCATCCGGAGGGCCAGCACTTGGCGCACCTCTGCTGGCGTCAGACACCACGTCAGAGGGCCTGAATTGGGCCCCCAGTAATCCAGGATCTCCGTTACCTAAAAAGAGAGGAAAACACCGTCTGCCCATCCGGCAGAGGACCAGACAGCATCTGCCTGACACCTGGAAGGCAGCAGGGCCCCTGCCCTGCCGGCTTTTGCCTTTGAGCCATCTGGGATGGGGCTCTGCCTCCACCCCCCTCCCCCTCTCTGGCCACCCTGCCTAGGGAGGAAACTGCGGAGGGCTCACCCGTTCCAGATTGAGGATGGTTGCCATCTGGGAGAGCCGGGCAAACTTGTCACGGATGGTCCAGGTAGTGACTGTAGTCAGGTAGGCTATCAGGGACCTCAGTTCTTTGTCAAACTGCAACCCGCCAAGCTGAGGAGACAGAAAGTGGCAAAGCGTGGCTGAACTGGCAGCTGGCCAGGAGACGCCCAGCCCAGCCCCAGCAGAACCTCTTGGAATGGATTCCCCTCTGAACTCCACCTGGAAGCAGGGAAGTTCAGGGAAAGCCCCGTACTCTGTCGCCCATTGGCTTCACCCACCCTCAGCTGCCCGTCTGGCCTTGGGCCTTGGAGGCAGGAGGAGTCGGCAAACAGGCTCCACCAGGAGTCAAACAAGGGGCTCTCCAAAGCGGGATCGATTCCCAACACTGAACCAGCCTCTTCTTTTTGGGGAGGTTTTATTATTTTTGAGGTGCAGGAGGTGGGGAGTGTGGTCACCTCATGGCTGCTGCTGCGTTACAATATTTTCAGGGAGGTCTTATTACCCAGGGAGGTCTTATTTTCGTGGTAACAGGCTACATATAAATAGACTCAGATTGTAATGCTGGCATGTCTCGCAATTGACATGTAGGTTGGCTTTATTGGCACTCTCTACCCCATCTTACCCGATTGAAGGTGGACTTGAGAACAACCTTCTCCAGCTCCAGAGCAACTAGACTGGTCATCAGGCTGGTGAGGCTATCGTAGATCACAGGGGACAGTCCTGCCTGCAGAGAGGGGAGAAGACTTGGTTCAGGATGGCTCTCTTACCAGAAGCAGACCGAGGCAGGCCAGCGGGGACAATGTCCCTGTCCAGAGAGAAGGCTGGTGTGCCCAGGGAAAAAGCTGCCAAGGGAACGAGAGCCCTGGCCCTTCTGTTGGCAAGGGGGACACACAGCGGACAGCTGCCTTCTCTTTGAAATGACCAATGCCTCTATGCCAATGGGGCCAATTCCCCTTGGAGGAATCCCGTCAACTCGTAAGCCTCGAACCTACCTTGAACTCCACCATCTGCTGCTCCAGATTAAGAATGAACTGCTGCACCCAGGGGTCGTTGGCTTCATAGTCACTGAACTCTTCCTGAAAGAACAGCAGAGAACAGAGCTGGCCTCTCCACCAAGCGCCCCCTTCCTCTGCCTCCCTTGAGTACCAGGGTGGGGTGGCGGCGGCGGCTCCAGCTGGCCTGTCTCATCTTTCTCAGAGGCCCCACAGCAATTTTATTTTCACGGAAGCCAGGACAGCCAAAGGATGGGACTGATGGGCTCAGCTGCCTAACAGGCTTGGCTTGCTCAAGGCGTGCCCAGCCACTGCTACTCCTCCAGGCTTTCTGAAGACTTGGCTGGCCTGGCAAAGGCTTGCCAGCCCCGAGGCCGCCTCCTACCACTTCTGTGGCCGCTTAGTAGGATGAAACAGAGTGGGGGGGGGGGCTTGAGAGGCACCAGGGCTGTTCCCTGGGGAGATGCTGCATGCAGAAAGAGAGCCTGCTGCAAGGACAGCACTTGACTGGCAAGCCCCCCCCCTCCCCCCCCCGCAAGGAAAAGTGAGCCTCCAGGCCGCTTCTCCACATCAGCTCTTCAGTTAGGCCAGTAAGGGAACCGGCACCACAAGCAACACTGGAACTCTGCTGCACCGAGAGCTCAGAAGCCTTTCCACCTGCCCCCTTCCCTCCCCCTTACACCGAAGAGAGTCACGGAGGGCAGTCTTGAGATTCCTCCTCAGCCTTTCTGGACTATTCCTGTTTTATTAATGACCGCAACATGTTTTATTCAAGCACTTTCTCCCCCAGCAGCATTCTCATTCCACATCTCCTCCCCTCTATAGTCCCCGTGGGGTCTTCAAAAGTGGCGAAAACACCACCGCCACCACCGCTCCCTTTCTCCAGCCTCCTGCATTCAGGCAAGCAAACAAACCAAGGCTGCACTCACCTCCTCAATGTTGTGGGATACAGACAGGAAGAGGTTAATGCAGGGCTTCACATGGGGTTTGACTGCTGAGCTGGTGAGTTCATTCAGGCCTTCCTGAGAGAGAACAAGGGTCAGTCAGCAGCCCCTCATTAGGTCTCCAGGCTCCCCAATACCCGGAAGCTGATCCTGGCAAACGGGCAGAGCCCCAGGGGTCCCGGCCTGTTGGGAGCTGCTCATGTTTCAAGAATGCGATCATCTCTCTAAGCTGAAGCGTAGAAATGCTCAGCAAAATGTGGGTGAGTGGAAGAGAAGCTCCTCTTGCAGCCCCAAGCAGCTCACCTTCTGCCGGGCAAGGATGCTGTCCACTGGCCTCCTTCCCTCCCTCCTGGGGGGCCTTGGGACAGGCAATGCTCCAAAGGGCCAACGCTCACCTGCAGCAGGTCACGGAACTTGCTGGAGACGGCGTCCATGTCCGAAAGGCAGCTCTCCAGCTTGAGCCGAGCCTGCTCTCCTCCAAAGCCCTGGCTGAGCAGCTCCGAACAGTCGCTCTGTAGGGAAGCAGAGACCCAGCTGCAAACAAGAATGGCTCTGCAAAAGGGAGACCTCGAGTCCGGTGGAAGTGAAGCACGGCAAGAGAAGGTGGGGCAGCAGCCCACCCACAGGGCGGCTCTCCCGCTGCTCAGTTCTTCCTCCCATTTCCCATACAGTCTAAGTCTCTGGATGGGACCTCCTGGCCAGGCACCGCAACTCCTTGCTCCAAACTCAGCATCCTTGTGTTCTTACGTAGACGGTTTATATCCTGGTTTCTTTGGGTACCCATCTTTGGAATAAGCCAGGATCTCCCAAAATAAAGCCGGACTTCTAATTGAAATGAATGATTCTATGAATTAGGGTATTAACTTAACCCCAAGATGGATTTGAATCACACAAACACACAATGAGTCCAAAACATGCTGCTCCAGCCAAGTGCTCAGAGCCCACAAGTACCTCCAGGGTCTTCTTCAGGGTCATGATGTTCTCGCTGCAGGCCTCCACATTGTTTAAAGTCACCTGCCATACAGAGGAAGCAGAACGGTCAGCATCTTACCCCACCCTGAAGAGCAGCCATGCCTCAAGGGCCTTTGTCCCCAAGGTCAGCATCTCAGTCGTCGCTCCTCTGAGGAGGAGATGGGAGACAGGGGAAGACGAAGGGAGGGAGGTTTCAGGCACCTAATCCCCCACTTCCTTTTCCCTCTCAGACCCAGGTGACTCTTAAAACGAGGCACCGGGCTGTTCCCCACCCAGGAAAGGAAGAAAACTGGCCCAATGGATGGTGAAAGGCAGGGCGGCGTTTCCATTTCTGCCAGCCCCTGGTTCCTTGGGGGAGGCTACTACAAAGAGATTTCCATGTATTGGACCATCGGGCCCAGGCCTTGGCACATGGGGCTGCCCTTTGAGGCCAAGACCTGACAGTCCCTTCTCCACTCGCTCCCTTGCTGCCTCTCCATGCAAGACTTAACCAGTGGGCTCTTCAATGTGGAACAATGTTCCAACCTCCTTTCCCCATCAACCGAAATTAATCGTACCCCAGGTACTTGCGTAAGACAAGCATTTTGACAGAATGAGTTGGTGCTCCTAACAGCCTTTCAACAGCCCACTTTGCTTGGCCCTCAACCCAGCCATACTGGCTCTCTAGGAGAGCCTCTGCCTTTCCCTCCAATCCAGGGATTGCCCCCCGGGGCCCCATCCGGACAACGCACCAGGAAGGACTGCTTAGCCTCATCGGTGCTCTCAATGCCTTTAGGGTCGAACTTCCCCTGCTGCAGGCTGCTCTGCATGAGGCTCACGGCACTGGTCACTCCCCTCTGGAAATCCTGGAAAGTGGTGGCCGGGAAGCCCACCCGCAGCTTGTGGCCCAGGATCTCCCTGTG